GTACTATATTCAAATCAAAGGATCTTTTATTACAAAAAAAGAGCTTAATAATGCTATTTACAACATATTGCTAAATAATATAAAGGCAGTGTTTTGTCACGGTTTATACTATATACATATGAGAAATGGCTGGGACAGTATTGGGAAAGCCACAACCTTTGATTCTTCCAGGTAGTGCTCAGACCAACCCCAAACACATGTGTTTCTCTAATTCTCATTTTGAAGTGGCAATATACAATTTTAAAGTACTTCCCCCTCCCCTGCTGTGGAGGATCACAATATTTTAAAAATACAGAATGAATACTTTTTTCACCAAAGAAGGCCAGTCCGTTTCCCTTTTCTGCTCATGTTTGTGCATTTGGGGGAGGGTGTCAGATTTGAAAAGACTCAAAGACCAAATGCTTCCAGATTCTGTTATATTCTTAGAAGGATAATTATAAGAAGATGCAAAGGTTGAATGCCAGTTTTGTTCCCAGCTCTGACTAGGAGCATTTCAGCTTTAGTTTCAGGGATGGTGTACAACCAACAGGTCTACAGAAAACAAAGCTGTGTTTCCTTCCACATAACATTTAAGTGCAATACAGCCACTGCTTACTCCTTCCCAACCAGTTACATTCTCTTAAGGGGAGCTTTTGGAAAACAGTGCTTCTTGTAATTTACAAACATAGAGTTTGTACCAGAAGGAAACATTGTACTAGTCACACCAATGAATATTCTATAATATACATGGCAAAGGATTCGCTCTGTCCTCACATGTACACTGTTTATTTCAGGGGAGTCTATAAATCGCTTTTTCTTTGATGAATTTGATAGTTCCTGGGGGTCATTCTCTTTTCAAAGCCCCCAAATGTTCAGTTTTATGACTTCATATTAGACTGCATGTGTGTGTGTATGTGTGTGTGTAGGGGGAGGGGTTACTTACTATATGTCTTCATGTACATAGAAAATAAATTTCAGAAATTTACAGAAATGGCATCACCCTTGCCCTTGACATCTGATGAAAGAGACTGTTATCTTTTAAAAGTAGAGAGCAGGATTTTCAAGAATGCTTTCAACTGTCTATACAAGTCGTTGTAGTGTTCGTAATAAATTCAACAGATGTTGTGAGAATGTAGTTATTTATTAAAATCTCATGTCTTACGTAACAACAGCATGAGGTTAAATATTTACATTGCTTTATAAAAGTTCCCCTCTTGCTTTAGTGTTTTTGTTTTGCCTTTTTTTTAATGTTTTGCTTTTAAAATTCTTAAAAATGATAGTCACCCACATCCGTAGCACATCAACAGAGATTCTCAAACATAAAACACTTTAATTAAATAATACTCGGAGGCACAAAGCAAACTTCAGGAAAATGTGGGTGAGTGTTTCCTTAAATAATTACTACATTCTACCAGCTTCCACATTGTTTTACCACTTAATGAGAAACATCCTCATCAAACAGCCAGAGATACAGTAAGAATTAAATGTTTTGTTGATGCAAATAGAACGTTCTTTTCACAAACCATAACAAATGTCTAAAATAGGTCCTTAAATCTAGATAGGAAAAGGTAAGCTTTCCACTTCACACGCATATATATTTATATATGTATATATGTATATTTTACATGTGTGTATATGTGTGCATGTATGTGTTCTTATGTTCACACATCTACACACACATATATAGCACATGGTATGAAATATTGCTTCTATACTACTTTTCATTAGGCTAAGAAAACACAAGATTTGCACCACAGTTACAAAAAATTGGCTTCTACAAGAATTTTCAAAACTCGAATGCTGCTCAAACAATTGAGGAAAAAATAATTTGCGGTATCAAACTGTTCTAAAAATTCTCTTCTTCAAAAACGTATTCTTCCGCTTTGTTTTAAAAAGACACAAAATATGCATAGCTATCAACGTTATGTCAAACAGCCAGGAAAAAAATCTAGTGTTTATTGCAGCTGTAGTAATTGGAAATAAAGTAAAAAGATGAAATCGAAAGCCACAGAAGGCACAAGAACAATTGTACTTATGGGGGAAAAACTGGTATTTTGAAGGATTTTTAAAAATCCCCCCGCTGGTGCATTTTAGGTCTAGGCACAGACTATAACCTCAAGTGTAAATGCAAAAATAATTTAGCAGAAAACAAGTGCTAATGTGGTATTTCAACATGGACTTCAGACTTTTGTTTCCTATGCAAACTGTCCCTCATCCTTTGCTCTCCCACCATAGAAAGTTCACTTTCTCCCAAGTAACCAATTTTCACTTATTGAGAGTTGAGCTAGAGTTGAAAGATTGTGGTTTGAAAAATCAAAACTATTAAATAGGAGTTTTGACAGACAGGTTTTTGCCATTTTCCAATGCACTTGGAGGCACAAGATTCTACGATTGTAAAGGGGAGGAGGGAGGCGGAAATCACCTAAAAGTGTAGGGATCCAATTCTATTTTCAAAACAATGAGGTGAGTTTATCCTCATGCTGCAATTTCTACTCCGAAATAATTTCTGTGCCTCAGTGAACTCTGAGCGGATATCGGTGTTGATAAGTGCATTGACATTTGGTTGTGAACATACCCTTTTGCTTGATTTGGCTAGTTCCATTAGAAAGGTGGGGGAGAATACTACAAAAAACCCAACTCTGGAATCAATACTGAACTTGCCCCAGCTCCAGAAGATTCTAGCAATCTGACTACATAGATGAATACCCTGCGGTTTTGCCTTTTATCTTGCAAGTGGCAATGCCTTATTGACATGAATTCCCTGGAACAGCCAAGAAAACCCAGCCCAGCGGTGTCTGACCTGAAGTGCAAGTGACACTCTTTCACAGGAAACAAGGCAAAAGAGCATGACCGAGGGTTGACAATGCTTCCCTACTTTGTGCTGATTGGATTTTTTGTTGTTGGGTTTTGGTTTGCATTTTATTCCAAGGTAATGATCACCTGAACATTTTTCCCCCCTCCTCCAGAGCAAGCTGGGACGAGGACAAATGGGAACTGATGGTTCTGGCTGCCTTGTGGAGGGAGAGCGAGCTGGGCAGTGTGCTCAGCTGTGTGTGGTGCTCCAGCCCATGTCCCTGCAGGCTGTCCACCCCGGGAACGTGGCTCAGTCCCCTCCGTGGTGCAGGCCGCCACAGGACGGGCTGTTTCATTTAAAGTCAGCAGGTTTTAAGGCTCTGTGCTGACAGTAACTGCCTTCAGACATTCCTGTCCATCAGCAGAATGTATAAACGATTCTAAATTACAACGTTTGGGTCAGCTAGTTAGTCACATGGGTCAACCTGCATTCTCCAAAGTAAAATGCATTTTTATAAAAATGGAGGGTAAATTGGTATTTATGTTCCATATTATCTAAATACCAGGCTTGTTACTGTGTCATTTTTGGAGGTGTATATCAAATGACCTAAGGGGATGGAAGGTTCTGAAAAAAAAAAAAACACACACACACACACACACACAAAAAAAACACACACCAAAAAACACCAAAACAAACCAAAAAAATGAATTACTGAATGAACAAGGAATTCTTACTGCATCTGCACACAGAATCCATCTAACAAAACAAGTGTGAATGCCACACAAATTCTTAAGAGCAAGTATGGAACATTGCATGCCTTTGAAAAACTGGGGGGGGGGGGGATCAAGGGAGGGTGGAGGGAGAAAGAAGAAGAGAACCATGGAAGAAAGCATAAAATAGCAGCTAGCTTTCTTATGTGTGCTGAAATTGTGTCTCTGAGCCAATCCCCAAACTTTGCCATGCTCTCCACTCTTCTCACATTTTGGTCAATATTAGCTCCTTAATTAGAAGGGACTTTATCCATTGCTCTGAAATGCTATACCTAAAATGAAGACACACTTAATGACACTGTCACCACTTTGCCTATCCATCGGGGTAGTGCGGAATTGTACATGAAAACAGATAATTCTCATCTGGGATCCTCTTAGGAGGTGAAGAGAAAGTCATCTAACAGCTGTCAAGAAATTTCTCGTGTAGGCAGAAATGTTATGGTCACATTGGGACGTCCTTTATTCCTTACTATAGAAAGGTATTCAAAAAATATTATAGTATTTTTTTTTGGGGGGGGAGTGTTAAATATTATACAGAAATAATAATTCTCTTAAGCATATGAACAAAGTTGAGCAAAGAATAAGTGTGAAACTTATGTGCTTTTTAATATCTGAAGCAAGATAAATAGAAAGCATAAGTTATAAGGGCTTTTTCTTTATGAAGAATGATACAGACCCACTTACTCTGAAGAGGAACCTAAGGTAAAATTTAGAGAGGATCACGGGTGAATTTCCAATCTCATCTTAAGAGTCAGTTTTGTGCAAAACTGTTTGCCTCCTTAAGAAATGGGTACAAGTTTGGGGTGTTTGCCATTTCTCTTAGGAAAGACTTGACAGTAGTGCTTATTTTTCTTTTCTAAGTTTGGCCTTTTGCAATACTTTTGAGAAGTCAGCTGCTCATCTGCCATTGGCTTTTGATTTGGTTAAAAAAAAAACAAAAAACAAAAACATGTCATCAAAAGCTACTGAGTTCAAACCAAACAATAGATTGAAGTTCATGAAGTGGTTTCATTGAGTTTTCCGACCTTCTTAGCAGAAAAAACTAGAGACATACGCTGTAGAATTGCTGTGTCATGAGTTTCCCTCCGCCAACCGCCATTTACAATTAAGCATCAGCCAAGCAGAAGCACCGCTAACCAGTGCCCTTCCATGTTAACGTAGACTTTACACGTGTCAAAACTCCTCTTTTCCCTGAAAATTAACCCTATTTTAAGTCTCCCAAAGTTAAGGGCCTTGGGCAAAAGTAAATGGAAGGCAGAAGGAAAATAGCCATCCCCTTGCGGTGGAAAAACAAAAGAAAATGAGAGGAAGATGATGAAGAGGAATTACCAGCTGATTTCATAGCCTATCCATGCCTCCCAGAACATACATATGAAATCAAAATCTAGACACGTATAACTTGGACATCCAAAGGGGACTGCTACTATTCATACATTCGAAAAGAGTTGTTGAAATTTCTACTCATGAAGCAGCTCTTGTAGGCAGTTCGGGGATTTGAAAATCTCAGGGACTTCACTGTCCAGCTTGCAGATGACCTTGTATATGGCCTTCTTCCAGGAAGGATCAACATCTTTGCCTGCAATAATGGCATTGAAAAACTCCCGTAATGTGATCTGCGCAACTTCCAGGAATCTCTCCGGAACCTGCTGATACAAGGAGACAATGGCATTAATAAAGTTTTCAGTTTCAAGTCTCCAGTTCTTCAAAGGAAACGGAGCTAAGTTCTTTCTTTCAGAAGGGGGCTTACATGGCACCTGCATTTTCTAAAAATGGCCGGCCTCTCTTATGCAAAGGCGTTATATATAGTAGCATTGTAATGGGGGTTGACAGCTTTGTAGAGGTTTAGGAAGAGACTTGTGCCAAGGATGCATGCCGACCTGTTGAAAAGCTAGGATTCCATTGCGAATGTTAGGGTAGGACAAGGGGACACACTGTTGGGATTCCTCACTTCATTAAGTAGGTGTGTTCTAGAAGCAAGTCTCCTACCCGTCTTTCAGAATGTGAATCAGGTTTCCTTTTGATTTCCATTATAAAAAACAAAATATGTTCTCATAAGTAGAATAATAAATAATTGGCCTTGGATAGAAAATGAACCCAGCTCTAGCCAGTTAGGCTCAGTGGATAGAGCATCAGCCTGAGGACTAAAGGGTCCCAGGTTCAATTCTAGCCAAGGGCACATGCCTGGGTTACAGGCTCAATCCCCAGTAGGAGATGTGCAGGAGGCAGCCGATCAATGATTCTCTCTCATCATTGATGTTTCTATCTCTGTCTCCCTCTCCCATCCTCTCTGAAATATATATATATATATATATATATATATATATATATATATATATATATATATTACACACACACACACACACACCAAGAAAACCAAAATCTCTGTTGCATGCCTATCTGCCTATGTCAGAGGATTGGTTCAAAAGCTAACTTGTCCATTAAAATGCTAACTATCAAGTAATATACATACAAAAAGAAGTAAGATAATAACATCAACGCTGAGTCCCAAAGTATAAAGTTTTTAATGAATCCTAAAAATTATACATCAGAAAATACTTTACCTTGAGATTAGAATTGTTCCATAAGAGATTAGTTCATGAAGGTGATGAAAATAATAAAAACCTAACATTTTTGGAGTGCTCGTTATGTGTCGAGCCCCGTGTTATGAAATGAATGCGAATTATGTCAGTCAGTTCCCCAACATCTTTATGTGCTGTTATTATACCCATTTTATGGTGAGAAAACTGAGGCTCACTGAGATCAAGAGAATTGTTCCAAGTCATTATACTCCAAGGCAAACATTCTCCAAATATTCTTTGTAGAATCAGTTTGTGTGTGTGTGTGTGTGTGTGTGTGTGTGTGTGTGTATGTAGTGTGTGAGTGTATGTGTCCTGTGTGAGCTTAACTGTGTTTGTTTGTTTTTTTTTTTTAATAGTCTGACTAGTCTATCTAGGGAAAGGAGTTGCTATTGATGCACTTAGTATTCTAAAGCAGGGCCTATCTCTCCCTACACCAAGATAATGGATTCACAGAATCTTCCCAGGAACTCATAATTTTCCAAGTATACACTGACACTCAGTCAATCTCTGTTAGTGGGGCCCTTCTGCATTCCTAATGTTTTATTTTTACAGTTAAGAGCAAACGTATGAGGGAGTCAATGCCCTGTGGTTGTACATGTAGACAGATCTGTCTACACAAATAAGAGGTGAAAGATTTTCATCTCAGTTCAAACATGCCATTTAACAAAGGAAAGGGACGTAATGCTTTGTTGAACATATTTGATCCTTTTCTCTCCATCTTTCCCAATTTGGGCAGTGGACATTTCTGTAATTGATAGGAACTGTTAAAGAAAACTAGTAGGATAACCATCTTTAAACATTTAAAATTGGACAAAGAAGTTCAATGCCTCCAATGGTATGTCACTTGTCCTTTGACAGAAACTTAATACTTTCCCAGAGGGTGGACATAGGGCCCCAGCTAGGGCTGATCTACAAAAAGTGAGAATTTTGAGTAGCTCCTTCCAAAGACACACACACTGGCCAATATCTCTCGGACAGTTTCCAACGCTTCCTGGAAAACAATTAAGACACAACCTTGTCCCCCATCAATGGGCAAACCCCATCCACCCCAATGGCCATTGCCTGGTGAGAAGTCATCTGGATTTTCTACAGAACTTTGGTATTTTCCCCTCAAATCTCCTGCATATATTAGTACATGGGTATTGGTGGGACGGGAGGGGCCAAGAGGAGAGATTACACTCCCACTCACCTTATACTAAGTAAAAAGTCATTAAGCAGTTTTGCTGAGTACTCTCCCTTCTTCCCCCAAAGATAATCCTTCCCATTTGATCAGATGGGCATTACTAAGAGAGGGAATCTGGCTGGAGGACAGTTAGGCAGCGCAGCTATCCACTCTAACTACTTGGTTTGGGAGCTGTTAGCCAAATGCTGCAGAAACATAATCATAGGCATTTATTAAAATAAACATTTCAAGAAGTGTGGTTTTACTGGCCATTGGCAACAGAGCTGTGACGAAGATTTATGTTCCTTGAACACAAGGGATTGCACATGCATGGACTGCAGAGAGCTGTGATTGGAGAAGGTATAGCAGCTGCTCCAGGGGAAGGCAGAGAAGGCTGGAAGCCCCGCCCACTCCCAGAACTCCACAGGGAGTCTGGGGAGCCAGGGCCAAGGGGTCCGGGGCACTGTTTAAGAGGAAGGAGTTATATTTACAATAGCCTCAGCACTGGAGGAGGGAGGGAGGAGTAGTTCTAAGGTTTGCCTAAGAACAAATCAAAGTAACTTCTTTGGGTGGGGGGGGAGAGAGTGTGCCTCCACCTTACTGTTCTTATCATTTGCCATGCTTGTTGATGGTTTTCAGGGCTTTTATCCTATGGTAAATACACACACACACACACACACACACACACACACACATATATATATATATATATATATATATATATATATATATATATTTTTTTTTTTTTTTTTTTTGGTAGTATTCTTGGACTGTCCTTTAAGACCTTTTGTGTCTGTCCTGATGTTACTTAACATTTTGCCTACTTATATCTAGTTGTAATGAATTTATCATAAGATGTCTTTAGAAAAAAGAGCCATGGTTTCTGTTCCGCACATCCCCCACAATGCTTAGCAGTGCTCTTTTGAAAAGTCTTTGATAAATAGTTCATAATGGGATTTTGCCTTCTGCTTTACCCCATATTGCTTTAGCATCACACTTAACCTTCCCGCTCAATACTTAAGTAACTTGTAAAATAAGATGGAACTTAAAGAGTTGGAACAGATCTCAGAAATTATCATTTCACAGATGAAGAAACTGTGAGCCGAAGAAATTATGCAATTAGAGGATTCTTGCAAAATAAGTTGTGCAGGTTTCTTTCCATTAAACCCTGTTGGTTCCTTTTTAATGCATTGTTGTTATTGCTACTTATTTGAGGCATCAAAACCTTGACAAACTTGGTTATGATTGAGAAACACCACAGAAGAGGTGATAACTTAAAATAAATGGGAATGGTACCAAAGACCCCAGGAAGGAGGAGCTTCAGTTTGGGGTTTCTGTTTGGGAAGGGATGAAATGGTTTGCTAGGTTAGTATCTGCTTTGAGACAATACTCATACAATGAATTGGGCTAGATGACATAAAGTGATGATGAGATCTGTTAATACTAGAGCAGTTAATCTTTTATTTTTATTTTTATTTTTTTGGTGGCTCCAGAGAGGTAAACTGATGGGTAGCAACTGATCTTCAAAAGAGTGGGAGGGAATTTCACCTACAGGTAGGAATATCACCCATTAATAAAAGAGACCCTTCCCTCTCCAATAGAAAATTCTCCCAATTCCATTTAACAGAGTAAGTTGGGCAGGGGGTTACTTTCTGATGTTTTTTTGGGGGTACCTGAGAATTCAGAGAACAATATTGTCCATATTTTTCTGTACCTCTTCACACCTAATGGATTTCCAATCGCTAATAAACATCTGCAGAAAATCCCTTAGTGACAAGTAATCCCTTATCTAGGTTTCTTTTAATAGAACCCAACAATGTGCAGAATGAACCCTAGAGTATCTCCTCAGCATCAGGTGGCAACAGTCAATCAAGCCCCAGGAATGCAAGACAATGCAGGCTGCTGGGAGGGGGGAGGGAAGGCCATGCCTTTGGACATGCCACAGGGGAAAAACAAAAGGCTTCCAAAGTCTCTGGCTGGGACTCGCAGGCTATTGTGGGAGCTGCTGAGATGAGTGTTCTTCAGGAGAGGAGAGTGGAAACTTTGCTCTGATAAAAGGCATCCCAATATAGGAGCCTCACCCCACATGGTCCTGCTTTCTCCTTGCCTTGATATTCGGAGGAGAATAATCGCCGTGAGGTACTTAAAGGCACTCAAAAATGTGAAGGGGCTGGCTAGCAGCATCCACCAATTCCATCACAATTGTTTGTACTTGAGTCTGCTCACAGCAAAAGAGGGCCCTGTGGTCTTTGATGAAATGGGGAAAATGGGAAGATGTTTTCAAGTCTTCTCAGTCAGTGGCAGGGTTATGTGTATGGGCACACACACACACACACACACACCCACACACACACACAGGTGTACATGTACACGCTGTGTGTTAGGTAGTTTTTTTGCACCTCTTCTGTTTCTTTTCTTTCTTTCTTTCTTTCTTTCTTTCTTTCTTTCTTTCTTTCTTTCTTTCTTTCTTTCTTTCTTTCTTTCTTTCTTTCTTTTTTATTTTATCAGAATGAGTGGCAAAGACACATTTCCCCCCTGTCTTCCTCCTCCTCTTCCCAGTTGCTTTACCTTCAAGGATGATTTGTTTTATTAAACTGACTGTCCCCAGCCTCTGCAGTACATAATAAAAGCCTGACATAGCAGGCTGCCTGCCTTCTGTGTCCTGCAGACACTCATCATAAGTGTCAGGACATACCAAGGTTAGCGGTCACTGAAAGTGTGCTCGCTGGCCCAAACCTTGCCAGACGCTCTTGGCAGCTGAATGAATGTCACAGAGAATAGAAGGGGGATTAGAAAGGTTAAAAAGAAGACAGCCTCTCCTATTTTCTGGACAGGGAAGCTGATTTTTCACACCTTTGAAACATCCACCAGTTCATCCATCGGCCCCTTGCGGGGCACCTAA